TCAAAATCACATTAAACAAATATAACTAGATAGTTATACACCCTCAATAAATTTAAATTAACATGAAAAATCTATGAAAAGGTGTGTTGAAAAGTAATGATATAATATTAGAGTAATACTACACCAACAACCCTTTCTCACAAACTTTCTCTCATAACCCTAACGTGATAGCTCGTAATTGGTCAATTCGCAATTAATTAGTAGGACCCATGTGGGACCCGTTATAAACTAACCAATTGCGAACTATCATGTCAGGGTTGTAAGAGAAAGTTTGTGAGAAATGATTGTTGGTGTAGTATTATTCATAATATTATCCATAATTAATTCTCTATTAGGTCAATCTGTAAAGAAAATTAGTATAATTTCAAAGTACCAGCACAGCAGCTTGGGGGGCTTGTTCTGCTTCTCTGGTTTCAGTCAACTCCTTCCCTTGTTTCTTTGCCTCTTTCTTAATTTTTTTAAGCTTAGCTCTCCTTTCCAGTTTTGTCAGCTTGACATGTGTAATGTAACCTATTAATAATCTGCAGATAACACCCGCAAAAGAATAAAGATGATAAAAAAATTGAAAAAAACACCCTTTAAAAAAGCTGCAAAATCTGAATAAAGATGCAGCAGTTTGCATTTGCAAACAACCTGCAGTTTGCAGATGCAAACAGTCTGTATTTTGCATTTGCAGACTGCACAATTTGCATCTACAAACAGCCTGTAGTTTACGTTTGCAAACTCGTTTTTCTTTTATTCTCTCAAAGTTCACATATTCTCATGCACATTTATCCACATTAAGTTCCATTACAATAAATTTCTAAAGGAATTGAGCACTTAAGCTGATTTGATCTCTACCCTTCTATTAATGTTTGATTTTTGCACCAACTAATTGTCACGTGCGTATCGTTGATTGGTCAAAAAGCAGACGTGATAATGAATATAAAAAGCGAAATAAATGCTATGAGAGTTTTTAAAGTGGTTCGGATGCTAAGGTAGCAAGTCCTATGTCCACTGATTTATATTGATATTGATAGTGTGGGTCAGGTCGCAATAGCAGACTGACTTACAAAAGGTTGGGAAATGGATACAAAAGCGTGAGAGGGAGAGAGAGTTTTTTTTTTTGTAAAAATTGTCGAATCCCCTTAATGAAGGGGTCTTCCTCTTCTTATACCCAGTTGAATGTCCGTAATCATCACTAAATCCTTGGGTTGGTGTGATTGTCAGGACCTAATCTGATTTTACGTCCAATTACCCATTTTCCAAGCCGATTTCACGCGATTTGGAGCAGGCTAGCGGACACGTGGGAGCACCAGGGCGTTTGGCAGGCCTAACGTGCGCTTACAGTTCTGACGGGAGCAGGCCACGTTTCGTCACGCAACTCCACGTCAGCCTTTGATTTCTTAGTCATAACACCTTCCAATTTTTATTCTCATTGGGTAAATATTCTAGCCCATAACCAAGATTCATAAAAAAATTGCAATGATCAAAACAAAACAAAACTGGTTACTACTAAGAACCAAATACAGAAAACACTGAAAAACAAGCAATACCCAGATAACAAAATGTCCAAAGAACTAATTTTTAGACCTAAGAAAAAGCAAGAGAAGTAGAAACAATGAAACTGAAAGTACATCAATAGATAATGGAAGAGAAAACTTACAGAGAAAAAAATAGACACAAGATTCAACGTCCACAGAAGCTCAGCCTAGTTTAGGTAAAACAAACAAGGAAGAATCTGAAGCTATTAAGAGGAAATCTCCACCGTCTGGCCACCCTTTAGTGCTGCCTTAGTTCGGCTACAACTTCGCTCGCTGCCCTTCTTTTCTTGAATAAAAATTACTTCCTGCAGTTGGGTATGAAATGAAACTTCACTCAAAATGATTTATGATGATTTCTGGAGGCTGGAGTCGGCGAAGAGGCAATGATTCTGATGAAGGACAAATGGACGGCAGCAGCATATTAGGGATTTAGGGTTTGACAAATGCATTGGGTTTGTACTGTGACTTTGTGTAAGAGCTAGGGTGGGCAAAATTTGTGTTTATCAAGGAAGGGTAAATCCGTAATTATAGAAGTGTAAGAAGGGTAATTAGGTAACAGAATTAACATATATTTTGTGTATTAATATATTATATATTATGGAATTAACATATATATTATGTATTAACATATGATTTATTATAAATCATACTTTATATATTATACCTTATATAATATTATACATAGTACATATTTATTATGTATTAAAAATATTTATAATAATTTATTAATTTATTATAATAAATCAAAATATCAAATGATTAAAGATAATAGTATATTATGTATAATGTATAATATATAATTTATATTATACATTATACATTATTAATATATTATGTATATCAAATGATTCATTATGCATATATAACATATTTATTATGTATTAAAAATATTTATAATGATTGATTGTTTTATTATAATGAATCAAACTATCAACTAATACATTATACATATATTTTTATGTATTAATAGATGTCGGAAATAGCATATTATATTAGTTATATAAATGCTTAATATACAGATGTACACATATATATATATATATATATATATGATATATATGATCAATTTGATAGTATTTAAAATATGTATTATGTATTAAAAATATTTATAATGATTTATTGATTTATTATAATGAATCAAAATGTCAAATGATTACGGATAATAGCATATTATGTATAATATATAATATATAATGCATAAATTTTGTTTTATAGCATATTATGTATAATGTTTAATGTATAATACATATGATACATTATAATACATATGATACAATGTATCATATGTATTATACATTATACATATATAACATATATATTATGTATCAAATGATCCTTATACACATATAACATATTTACTGTTTAATAAAAATATTTATAATGATTTATTATATTTAATATAGACAATTTATCTATTATTATTTATTATCTATTTGTATATGGTTTCACTCAATATTTCCATAATTATGTTATTATAATCATATTTAAATTTGATCAATTAATAATGAGAAACAATTAATTATTAAAATGATAATTATATATATATATATATATATATATATATTATGGGGCGGGGCGGGGGCACAGCAAGGCCATCCTCGAACCATTTGGGGAATCTTTGTCCTGTTCGGGGTGGTGAAAATGTCTATCCCTATTATTAACGCTATCATCATCATCTAAAACATACATACAAGTGCATATATAGAAATATGTAACATTGCCAATTTTAATAATATCTCATCTAAAATCATCTATATTTCATAAAGTGTTAGTTTTAAATCATCATAGAAAAGACAAAAACCTCAAAGATCCTTTAAAATAAAATTTTATTTTACAAAGGCCGACACTCTTAGCTTGCTAAAGAGTTCTTTTAAGTTGGCTATTGATTGAAGGTTCCAATTTATTATTAACCTTAGCGTGTGATTAACACTATGTTTGACTATAACTATTTAATTCATAAGTAATAAAAATATAATTACTCACGGAATAAATTAGAATATCTATAGCTGCATACTATAAGGAATATAGCAAATTAATTTTCACATTATTTATTTGCTACAAATTCTAATAATTCATAGGTAATACACACATATTAGTTATATATTTAAACTAACAGCTAATAATGATACTATAATATTGTTACTACCATGAAAATAAAATTTGTAAAGCTAGATACCTTAATCAGCTAAAAATTTCAATATTTTATAGCTAATGCACAAATAATAGCTATATAGTTAAACTCGTAGCTAATAATGATACTATATGCCATGTACATAAAATGTTTATAGCTAAATACATTAATTAGCTACAAATTTCAATATTTTATAGCTAATGCACAAATAATAGCTATATAGTTAAACTCGTAGCTAATAATGATACTATATGCCAAGTAAATACAATGTTTATAGCTAAATACATTAATTAGCTACAATGTTTTACCATAGCTAATACATTATAGCTAAATAACTAGTTATTGTCACGATTTTATTAAGTTAAAACAAGAGATGATTATTAGGTTCGAGAAAGGAAATCTTATCACTAAAAGTATTTCAATTAGCTATAAATATTGACTTTTGTAGCTATAAATATGTATTTGCTACAGTTTTCCTTTCTGTAGCTATATATGTATATTGTTGTAGTGCTGAGATACTTTTTGTGGGGTAAAAGAAAAGAAAGTTAATATTATGCTTACTTTGTTCTCTTCAATATATAATCCTGGTGAATAAATCAGGAGTCACTATGGTGAAACTATAAGATCCTAGAACACAAAAGGTTAATTATTTCCGTATCAAGGCTTATTGCATGAAGCTTTTTTCTATGTAGAGATGGCTCAAAAAAGCAACAAAAACCTTGAGTGAAAGATGGTGCATTGACATTTTCCAAGCTCTAAGAGTTCCATATTATGTTTATAAATATGGAGTTCCGAATTAGGCTCTGCATACATTGCACAAACTTAACTAGTTTAAGCAATGGCATTCTCATCCCTCCCCTATTTTCTTCATTGTCTTTGTTCTACTACATCTTCAACTTAATGTTGCTTTTGATTCTACTTAAGAAGCACAAGCTCTTCTCAAATGGAAATTCAGCTTCAAAACCAGAGCCATTCTACCCTCTCTTTATGGTCTCTTTATCCTATTAATGCTACCAATAATTCTACTCGACACAGAACCAAGATAAGTCATTGTACTAATTGGTTGGGAGTTTCTAGTGATCAAGCGGGAAGCATCCATAGATTGAACTTGTCTATGGCAGGTTTAAAAGGTATGCTCAATGAATTGTCATTTTCGTCATTTCCTCATCTTGCATATCTTGATCTTAGCTTTAATGAACTCTTTGGAGTTATCCCTTCATAGATTTGTAATCTCTCAAAACTGAAGTATCTTGACTTGTCAACTAATCAGTTTTCTAGGAAAATACCAACTAAAATCGGTCTCCTTACACATCTTAAGACCCTTCACCTGGCTAAGAATCAGTTGAATGGTTCAATTCCAACAGAAAATAGGCCAACTAAGTTCTCTTAGTGATTTGGCTCTATACAGGAGTTGCTTGGATGGTTCAGTTCTTGCTTCTTTGGGAAATTTAAGTAACTTTGCTAAGTTGTATCTTTTTAATAATTCACTTTCTGGTTCTATTCCCCCAGAGATGGGAGACCTCTCGAATCCAGTTGAACTTTACATCGATACCAATAGCTTAACCGGTATAATCCCATCAAGTCTTGGAAACCTCAGAAAGCTGAAAGTCTTGTATGTTCCACAACCATCTTTCTGGTTCTATTCCTTAGGAATTAGGAAATTTGTAGTCTCTCACTAGTATTAGTCTTCATAGCAACAATTTTTTAGGTTCCATTCCAGCGTCTCTTGGAGGCTTGAGAAGCCTCCTTCGTCTTCATTTATATAATAATCAACTTTCTGGCTCCATTCCCCCTAAAATAGGAAATCTGAAAAATCTTGTTGATTTAGAGTTAAGCCAAAATCCACTCAGTGGTTCTATGCATGATTCCTTTAAAAACCTAAACAAATTAAAGATTTTGTACCTTCGTGATAACCATCTTTCTAGCACCATTCCCTAGGAAATAGGAAATTTCATGTTCACTCAATTGGAAATAGACATCAACAACTTCACTGGTCAGTTACCCCATAATATATGTGTTGGTGGTTCACTTCAAAAATTCACTATGAATAGCAACAATTTTTTCGGTCCAATTCCCGAAGGCTTGAGACATTGCACGAGCCTAAAAAGACTTTGCCTGGAACAAAACCAATTCGTTGGTAACATATCTGAAGATTTTGGTGTCTATCCACACCTAGAATATTTAGATCTCAACCAAAATAAGTTTTATGGTCAAGTCTCATCTGGCTGGGGAGAGTGTCCAAATTTATGCACCTTAAAGATCACAGAGAACAATATATCTGGCAGCATACCAGTTGAGCTTGGAAACCTAACTCAACTAGGTAGACTTAATCTTTCTTAAAATTCTCTATTGGGGAGATTCCAAAAGAACTTGGAAACTTGAGTCTGTTAGAGGAGTTGATTTTGAATAGGAACCAACTTTTTGGTGGTATACCTCCGAAAATTAGATTCCTCATCAGAATTACCCGTCTTGACTTGTCCACAAACAAGTTGAGCAAATCAATCCCCGAAAGTCTAGGGAACTTGTTGAAAATGTACAGATTGAATTTGAGCAACAACCAATTTACCCAAGAAATTCCTCCTTAGATGGGGAAGCTAAGTCAACTTACAGAGGTGGATTTGAGTCATAACTTCCTCAGCGGAAAGATACCTCCTCAAATATGTGTTTTGGAGATACTGTAGAAGCTCAATCTCTCAAAAAATAATCTCTGTGGGTTCATTCCGAAAGAATTTGAAAATATGGTTGCACTGTCAAGAATTAATATATCCAACAATGAGTTGGAGGGTGCAATTCCAAACTCTATAGCATTTAAAAATTATACCACGGAAGAATTACAAGGGAGCAAAGATTTGTGTGGTGATGTTAGAGGGCTGCGATGTCTTTGCAGAACTTTATTACCTGTGGCAAAATAGAGGTTGCACAAGGGTTGGATAATCTTTTTTAAAGTTTTTTTTCCCTCTTCTATGAGCTCTTGTTCTTTTGCTTGTGGTGATCCATATACTCTTTAGTTCCAGAAGAACAAAGAGACACTCAGAAGATAAAGAAATTACGATGAATAATGAAGAATTTCTCTCGATATCAACTTTTAAAGGAAGAAAGATGTGTGAAAAAAATCATAGTAGCGACTAAGGATTTTCATGCCAGTCACTTAATTGGGAAGGGAGGTCATGGAAGTGTTTACAAAGTTGAGTTATCACCAGGGGATATTGTAGTAGTTAAGAAAATCCATTTGCTATATACCGGTAATATAGCTGATCAAAAAGAGTTCTTGAGTGAGATAAGGGCATTAACAGAGATAAGATATGAAAATATTGTGAAATTTTTTAGTTTTTGTTCCCATTCTCGACACTCATTCTTAGTTTATGAGTATCTCAAAAGGGGTAAGTTGCCCGCACTTTGAGCAACGAAGCAGGAGCAATAGGACTAGATTGGAGTAAGAGAGTGAATATCATAAAAGGTGTGGCACATGCTTTGTCTTACATGCATCATGATTGCTTCTCACCAGTTATCCATCACAACATATCAAGCAAGAATGTGTTGCTAGATATGGAATATGAAGCTCATGTCTCAGATTTTGGAACTGCTAAGCTTCTCAAGCCAGATTCATCTAATTGGACTCAACTTGCAGGCACATATGGATACGTTACACCAGGTATATAATTCCTTCACCATCATTTTTTACAATACCCTTATTAGATAATCAATGATAAAGACATCATATTTCTTTCACTTCACAGAGCTTGCTTACATAATGACAGTGACCAAGAAATGTGATGTGTATAGCTTTGGAGTATTGATACTTGAAGTCATCCTAGGGAAGCATCCCGGAGATGTCTCGCCCCATTTTTAGGTTCATCTACAAACATGAACATGGAACTTGATGATATGTTGGATCCAAGGCTTCTATTTCCCTCCCTGGAAGTTCAAAATAAACTGATTTCCATCATCGATGTGGCCTTCTTATGCTTAGATGTAAGCCCATAGTCTAGACCAACCATGCAGATTATGTCTCATCTTTTTTGCAACTAAATCTTATTCTTTCTGAAGTAATCACGCTAGATTATAAATTTCCAGCAAACTACTTTGTAAGTTTTTGAATCAATTGTTTGTAAGGTTGGTCTAGTTTTTGAATCAATTGTTTGAAATAATCACATTAGATTATAAATCTGGTTTCTCTATATATTTTTTTAATTGAGCAACATTGGGACTTGAGAGTGATTGGTTACATAAATTCTCCATTAGCGGTTGAAATAGTATAGTTTGCACTAGCTACAAGTTGCTGATTCTTATTTAAAATTTGTGTTCTTATCAGTGACTAAGGCAGTATTAATCTGGGGTAGCTTTTCATAATCTGAAAGCGGATTCTCAAAGAATCTAAAGCTAATTAATTAATTATTTATTTAAAAACATTTTTAAAGTGGTTAAATAATTTAATGTTATAAAAATACTGACTCACTAGTTGTGTCTGACAGCAGTCACATAAACTTGACTTGTCAATAGATTGTATAAAAGTTCTGAATTAAGTCCTGAAAATTTCAGGCACAATATTGTTGATTTTGAATTATTAATGAATTTCAAAGAACAAATAATTACTTTCAAAGAATGTCACCTTCAGAGAATAAATGGCAAAGAAAATTCATACTAAAGCATATCCATCAAAGTGGTGTTAAGCTCGAGTTTCCAAAGGGTGGCCCAAGAAAAATTGAGAAAGTCCATTTTTTGTAGGAAATTGATTTAAAGTTAGATTTTGTATTAGCAAAATAAGAAAAGAAAGAGGTGAAAAGGGGAGCGGCCGAAGGTGAGAAGAAGAAAAGGAGAAAATAGGGGGTTAGTAATAGATTCAACCAAGCCTTGGATGAACAACCTCTCGTGGTCCGATTCAGCTACAATTTTATTGGTATATTCTTGACTCAAGCCTCTTCATTTTGGACGACAAAGATTGAATTTGGAGCAGGTTTGTTATAGTAAATTGTGCACAGTATATCTTTGTGAGATTTCTCCATTATTTTTATGTATGAGTGTTTGATTCCAAGAAGTATTGTTTTTCTGATTATTGTGGATGTATTCTTCTTCTCACCTTCGGCCGCTCCCTTTTTTCTCAATCAAATCATTTGTTATTTGCCTCGTAATATTTGCAGCGCTGGTTTACTCTAGCACTTATATGCAAGTGACAACCATTTCTCAGGCCCGGTCCCTAAAAGCTTGAGGAATTGCAAGAGCCTGATTAAACTCCTCATAGGACAAAATGAACTTGTTGGAAATATATCTGAATTTCTTGGTTTCTGTCCAAACCTGAGGGATATAGAGCTAATCTATAACAAATTTTATGGTGAGATCCCATATGTGGAAATTTTCAACAATTAGACACTCCAAAAAAATTCTTTCATAAGTGATGATGATTAAGAAAAATTGTTAGTTTGTGGTGGAAAAATAAATTAAAGAAAAAAATGGCGTACAGGTACTTAAAGTTATATTAGCCTTTTAATGTAATTTTGATTGACAATAATATTTTAATCTAAAAGAATTAGTATTAACATGGGTCTATTAAGAAATTTAGTGGGGAAATGGCATTATTTCTTCAAAACATATCATAAAACAGATCAGTTAAAAGGTTTTTGTCTGTTTTTGAAATGTAAAATGAAACCAAAAGAATAATGATATAATCGCTGACTTTTTAAAGTTGACACTTGACAATGATGAATATCCCTCCTGGTTCTCGGCTTCAAACCATAAGCTTTTGAAATCTGTGGCTAAGGATGATGAGCCACTACAAACTGTAGTGCCTAAAAATGGCAGTGGGGATTACAATAACATTTAGGAAGCTATTGATGCCTACCCAAAGCACTTACGAGGCCGATTTGTTGTATACGTTAAGAAGAAATCTACAATGAAAGCATTATTGTGTCTAAAAAAAAAAACATAATTTGTTCATGTATGGTGATGGAAATGGAAATAGCAAGACCATTGTTTTGGGTAGCAAGAGCAATAGCCAAGACTTCAGAACCTGGAAGATTGCCACATTCAGTAAGTTTCTATTGATGCTTGATTTTGACACCAATGACCCACACATTCAAAGTGCTAAGCTAGTCCCCAAAGCCATCGAAGAAAACTGGGGGATTTGCATTCCCTCAGGTTAACCCGACTGAACCTACTGAAGCAATTCCCAGTGATATCCCCACGGGAGGGATATGAATTAGTGTTGAAAGGCAACCATCCACGGAGCGACATGAAGAAGCTCCTCGACCCATGATGTGACTCTAAGCCACTCACAAACCAAACCTGAACATACCAAGTTGATGATAACCATACTCTTTCTGTCCTTGGGCGATGTGGCAGCGTCTGGATGGCACAAAGCCTTCTTGAACTTTGATTGGTCCTTGTTGACATAAGCTCATGTCAGCCTTGATTTCTTAGACATAATAGTTTCCAAACCTGTAAGACCCTTGTAACGGCGATAAGAACGGGGTTCATTACCAAGAGTATGGGATTCGTGAACACAGCCAGCTCTAATGGACACCAGTCCGTGGCTCTTCGTGTTGCATCTAACTATTTAGCTATCTTCAACTACAAGATTGATGGTTACCAAACCTCTTTGTACACCCATGCTTATCGACAGTTTTATCGTAATTGTATAATTTTCGGCACTGTTGATCTTATCTTTGGTGATGCCACCGCCATTATTCAAAGTTCCACTCATGTTTAGGAAGTCCAATAATAACGATGAAAAGTACACGGTGGCAGCTCAAGTCAGAAGAATATGACAACAAACCACTGCAATGTTTATCCACAATTGGACCATTGTCCCTGATGAGAAGCTCTTCCCTGATAGGTTAAAGGCCCAAGTGTACTTAGATAGGCCGTGGAATTAAGACTATGCCACAACTATTTTCCTGGAAAATACCATGGGCGATTTCATTGATCCAGAAGGATTTATTAGCTTTAGGGAAAATTCTGCTCAAGACACTTGTATATAATACGAGTATGGGAATCGCGGCCCTCATTCCAAAAGAGGTAAGAGGGTCAAGTGGTCTGGTGCTAAAGGAATCAGCAAGGATCAGGCTCAAGCATACACTGTTTCAAAATTATTGAAGAGCGGCCAATTTTTGGATGATGTTGGAATTCCTCACGATGGACTCATACTCAAATACATACCCATGATAGTAGTTTGGTTGAGACCACAAGGATTGGAGTTTGTATTGTTTTCAATTAATGTCGTCTTCAATTTTATTTTATTTGTTTTCAATAGTAAATTCATTCATTTAATGAATTAATTGCAATCGTCTTTATTTTTATTTTTCAATATGCAATCTATTAATCTAAAAACAATGAGGCATATATGTTTAGTGCTTCTAAATATTTTATTTTGTTGATTCAAGAATTGCTTTAAAATATTTTCGCAGAGTGATAGAACCCTAAGGAATCTATATATATATAAAGCTAAATACCCATGGGGGTTGTTCACTAGGTGGCACGTTTTGGAACTCGTAGAATTGTTCCATTTTGACACATAGGATTTGTGGTTGTTATGTGGTTGAATTTTATTAGTGATGTTGTAGAAGATATTAATTGTTGAATTGGTATTCCAAATCCAAGGTAAAATTGGTTTAGGGTTGCTCTCTCTTGCCACGTTGGATGTGTGGTTTAATGAGATATTCTTAACTCTAAGATTCAAGAATACCCATGCTGGTTGTTTTCCATGAATACTTATGTGGATTGTTCGCCATGTGGCATATTTTGGAAATCTAGAATTGCTCAATTTTGACACATTGGACAGTCAAATTGCTCTATCTTGACACGCTAGGTTGGTATTTATTGTGTCATCTATAATTAATATTTAATAATAATAATACATGTGCATTTCATTGCATTGGAATTCCAAAGATGTGAATTAATAACAAGTATACATGTGTATTGGATTGCTATTACTTACTGCATTGTATTGACATTGGAAAACTGTCTTCGTATTTAATTGCGTTGGCATTCGGAAGGTCTAAATAAGGGGTTATAAAAGGGGCACATGTTCAATTGTGGATCATCGCAATTTGCTAATTGGTGTCAACAATACGTTTGGTCTTTTGTTAATTGTTTATAGATCATGTTAGTTTGTGTCAATAATATGTCTGTTCTTTATTTTATTTATGTTTTTATTGTTGTTTAAGTCAAAGATCATGAATCGGCATGATGTACGATTGACATTGTTAGATGAGTTGTTATTTTGATTTGTGCTTCTGAACTGTAAGTATATCTTCTGAACGGTCAATCTGTTCCTTGTTACTTAATACTTTTAGAAAACATATAGATTCATTATAGATGAATTTAATTTTATACATCACTCTCTGACATCCACTGTTCTTGGAGGAGTGTTGAAACAATAAAAATTGCTCTCATACGTACTGTTGGAATTGGGAGCAATTAAATCAATCTCTAACAGGCTTCATCTTTCGCTATGCATCCTTTCTTCTAGACATCTTCACAGTCCTCTAGCCGACATTCTTGTTCTACCAAAAAGATTCAATCTTCAACAGTTCCAAAACCCTTGAAGTCTGGTTGCATAATTTAGGGGTGAGTACAGGTAGTGGGTAGAACCGAAATCGAAACTAGAACCTACATGGAACTGACACTATGCGGGTAAGTTTCGATTCCATTTTATTGGAATAAACACTATGCGGTTTTGATTCCGGTTCCTATAGGTTTTGAAACCAGAATCAAAACTTGGGAAAAGAACCTAAAACGGGTACTCAGCTTGGAACCTGCTTGAAACCTATATGTGTTTTGGTTTTGGTTTTGATTGAGAAATTTTGTGTGAATTGTGATGAATTGATTGAATTCAAGTGTTGCCTCGAGATCAAA